ATGTATATCTGAAGCTGGACGCATGACATTTGTGTGATTGTATTTACTAACTGCTCCGTCGTTCTAGTGGCTTCGATCCCTAAGTTGAAGCCATAAGGTAGCTTGAATGTGACTGGATTACATTCGTACAAGGTTGCTTGAATGTTGTTCTAGGCCGACTGGGTCAACATTCACCCTTGTGGGCATACAAGAAAACAGTTTATTTGTTTCTGCGTCATTTAGTATATAAATATTCGCTCTTAGGTTTCAAATAATTACAGATATATCCATAAAAATGCTATTTGACAGGATCGTCGACGCTTTCTGATCCCCCCTAAAACTCTGGATATAAATATCCAGAGAATTTACAATATAGATTGTAATTTAAACAAAATGGGATTCAAGAAATTTATAATATAGATTGTAAAATTTAATTTAGGAGTTTTTTGTTTTACAAACCATATTATACGAATTGAACGTTAAATGAACAATACCTAGTAAAAAAAAATATGGAAAATGGCTACAGAATACAAATATTTTGCTTTTAGCGATACCAAATACGATTTGGTTTCCAAATATAGCATGCTACATTTGCTATTTTCATCAGCGACATTCTCTCAAGTTGTTTATATTCAATATGGCAACGCCTGCTCAAGATCTCAACTCGGGATCGGTCTTGCAGCTTCCCGCTACTACAAACGCATCTATTCAACACCCCGGAGAGTGTTCGGATCCTCTTTGCAAGTTCGGCAATGCTCGTTTCGTAATCGACTGCTCTGACATCAAGCTTGCTCGAGACTTACGACTTCGACATTTCGATTCAGATTGACGATTCCTCAAAGCAGAACTACGGTCTAGTCTACAGCTGAAACGAACATATTTCTGAGGATGAATTTTCTTCTCAAAAGAACGCTCGGGAGCGGTGTAAATAATTTGCCATTAAGTCAGGCTTCCAAATTTTTGTGAAGCAAACAAGTGTGAAGGGCGACAACTCCGGGAACGCAAAGTATCAGTGCAAGAAACTCAACGGTGTCCGGTTTTTCGACCGGGAGACGCCTTTGGACAATATAGAGTGCCCGTGTTTCATCAATATATACGGCAAAAATGGCGTTTGGAAGTTGACGAAGACAAACTTTGCGCATAATCATGCCAAAGATGTTGGATTTACTCGAACGCATTGCGTTGAAGATGCAATTCCTCGCCCATCGACGGCTATTCGGAATACTACACAAGACATTCAACATCTCACAACTCTGGTTATGAGAGATTTGCTACCAATGCCCGTTAGATCTTCGGCATCCTGAGATGGAAGATCGATTCGTGAGTTTCTCAAATCCCGTAGTTTCACAATTTCAAGCAGCGCTATCTCTTGGATGAAGATGGACATTGACGAAAGGCTCCGCGGAGACGTCATCGAAAGTTACCAGAAACTAGAGGCGTATTTCAAGTTGATGGAGGAGAAAAACCCCAATCCTACTTAAAAGTCGGATTAGAATGGTTTGGTGAGACCAAAAAGTGGTCTCACCAAGCAATTCACCTTGATTAAACTTTAGTGCGCGACTTTATATGTCGGTTTTGGCTAACTCATGCCCATCTAATGACTAAATTAATCTGTAGCTAGTTTAATATGCATTGTTAAGCTTTGCATGGTGATCGAAACGACGTGAAAGCGCACTCAATGAGGAAAAACTACGAGATCACCTTCACAATCCACATGATTATCACTAGAATCACAAACAAGAATGGTGTGCGCCATAAGGTTGGATTTGATGCGTTTTGTGGATTGACATTCACATTATTAATTATTTTGCTTACGATAGTGTGACGACGGGAATTGATGCAAACTAATGCACGTCTTCCATGACGTTCATGCCTACTTGGGTGGACAGTGATGACTGGAACGTCGCTAAAGCAACGTTGCTGAGGTGATTGAGTCGTTTTTCTTCATTGAGTGCGTTAGCAGGTGGTTTGGACCACGCTGCAAGCTCGGGGGTAAAAGGGGTTAGTGTTGAGAAAGCGTGTCTGGACGTTACTCGAGATACTAGCAGGTATGTCTGTTGTGGCTTGTTCACGACTCGTTGCGTCGACTTCCAGTCCATGACGACCATTGATTGAAGTGTTTCTCCCTAACCTTTGTACACGGTCGAACCGACGGCGCATACAAAAGGGAGCTGTTGGGGTTTCACAGTGACCGACCGTCCGGCGCTTTTGGTAGCGTGATGATTGACTTCATGTATGCTTCGGTGATGAAAAACACGGGAAACAACTCTGGATCAATTCCTGGACGGATCGCAGTCGCTCGCGGTCGCGGCACACGCAGCATAGCGTAGTCCGGTGAGTGACTGGGTAGCTGGACGATCGTGTTCGACGCGCCATCGCGCATGAGGCGAAAGTGAGTGTTAGTGGGAAAATGCACGAATTCAAGATTGACCAGTGTGCCGTTGGCAATACCTTTCGCGGTTGCGACGTTCTGCGTGACTTGGATGGACATACCGTCGAGAAGGTCAAGATAGAGCGCCATTCGCCCAAAGCGATTGTCGGGAAGACTCATGACATACCGAAGATCACTTTGACTGAGTCCATTGAGAGCGCCTTTAAAATTGGCGATGACACGAACAGGAAAAATATTAGTGTGGAGGATTGTCGCGGTCTTTGCCACAAACGCGTTATTGATAGCTAAGCGAGTAGCGTTTTACGGGGTGACAAATACTGCATCAGACACCATTTCGTCTCGCTGTGTCACTGACAAAGCTTCCGTATTCTCTAGCGATCCAACTACTCGACTGTTAATGAGATTGATAAATTCGGGAGTCCATTGCCTAAGCCGAGCGAGACGGCAACCAGCAACCCACTCAGCGTCATGTTGGAAGCGGTGGGACTCTTAGAGGACCACAACAGTTGTGAACTTTCTCCACAGCTCGAACCCTTCAATATCAACGGTCTTCATTTTGCCCTTGGAAGTTGGCTTAATATAGATGGCATCAGCCTTCACAGGTGGCATTTGCAAGAAATCGCCAACAATAATGAAATGAAAACCACCAAACGGTACGTTGAGAATGTGCATGTATCGCCGCAACAATTTGTCCAATCACAATAACTCCGCGTTGCTCACCATGGAGACCTCGTCAATGACTAGAAGATCAAGCGGTGAGAAGTGCTTGGCATTGATGGCATGTTGCAAATGCATCATAAAACTTGCAAGGGTACGTCCACCAATTAGTGTAGCTGCCTTACCTGTTAATGCCGTTTTCACAATAGATGCATCGCGGTGCCAACTAGCACAGAACGCGTCAACTGCTTCAATGAAACGGCTTTTGCCGGTCCCACCAGCAACCCTAGGAACAGCAATAGCTGGTCGACCCGGAAGCGAGCCTCGAATTTGTCGGCGCAATATCCGTAGCTGTTTCCGTGGAGCCCACCGACTTCTTGGCCCAGGAATCGTCAAAGAAGTGAGATTGCGATGAGCGCGAATGCGCTATATTAACGTTGATTGAGAGTGAATGCTCGAGCGACTTCTTCTATCGCAGCATACGGTGCAACAGCAGGCGGTGATTGCATCAATGGCAGTGTCGGTGATTCTGTCAGCGGCTCTGAAGGTGATAATCGTTCATGGACACCTTGTAGCGTATTAGTAATGAGTTCGATAACTTGAGTGGGACACTCGCTGTGAAAACTATCCAAGCGCTGTGGTTGGAATTCGTCATTTGATGTGTCTTTCACATATTGCTGCAGTTCAGTGATCGAAAACTTTAACGCCAATTGGGAGCAGTGTAAATCGACGACCGTATCCACCGTCGTCTGCGCTGCTACGCTCAATAAATCCTCGTATTTTTCATTGAAAACGGACGAACCTGAATTTGGAAAGACAGGTAAACTGGACTCGACACGTTCATCGTCGTTTTGAATATTGGCATCGAAAAGATTGCAAAAAGTATCGGATCCAGTGCCAACTAGACCTGCCACTTCAGATGCACCACCACGATCGAGTGCGTCATAGACGTCCTCATGTGTTCCGACGAGCTCGTCGTAATCGGTAGCATTTTCAATAGCAAAATCTGCATCATTACTCGATTGGCTGCAATCCCTTGCTTGTTTGGCCGCGCGAGAATAGTCGTCCATGTTTGACATGATTTCACGGGTAAAGCTTGTGCGCGTGGGCTCCCACTCGACGAACGCCTCTATCCATTTAGCACTATCTGTTGCGTCGGTGACAAGGTTTTCAATTGTACGGAAATGGTTTAAACAACACCAATGCACATTGACTTCGGATCACAACGAATTCAAATGGGGACTCAGAATCCAAGAAAGGCATTTTTACACCAGCCACAACTGGACCAACTTCATCCATGTGCGTACCGACGCAGTATGAGTTGTAAAGCGGATGATCCTGCAAGAAAAATACCTCCTCGGCTGTTGACAGAGTTTGTTTGCGCCAGAAATGTTTTGCCACGTAGTCGTACAGACAAACCTCACAAGATCGCAGGAGTGCGTCCCATTTTCAACAAGCTCGTGTAAGACGTTTCTCAATGGGAGTGTGGCACACGGTGTACTTACATATGCGCAAGACCCACGTAGCAGATACAAAGCTGCGAGCGGTCCGGCGATTTCGCGACGATTTGTGATTCCATATACAAGAGACGCCACACGTCTGCGGCCACGTGCAGCTCGATCAAAGTTACCAGTCTCTTAGTCTAGCGCTTCGCGTAACTGACGTCTCTTAAACGCAGCGAGAGCGACAGCTCTGATTGAGTCGACTTGCTCCTGTAATTTTGTTACATACTTGGTCGCGTAGTAAATCCGTAGCAATCGCCGATCATCACTTGAATGTCGTGATTAGACTTGAAAGTCAACATCATCTCGCGATTAAACCCACTCACAAACTCGAAAGGCGCTCGTCGAGCAAGCGCAACACCATCACTCGAGCACGATGTCTGCGCAATTCTGGCTCGTGGAAACCCATACCGACACCTCCCAGGCACAGAACAACGACTCTTCTTAAAACAGCTCCCGGTATGCGACTATCAATGCAAATTCAACATAAAGACTAGAACCGAAACCGCGAACGAAACCGCCCGAACCATCCACCGATCATCATCAACTCCTGGAGGAAGCATCATGACCAATCGCCCGACATCATCCTCGCGAAATGCATCATCTTCTCGTCGCTCAAGCCGAATTGGTGTCCGATTCAAGTCTCGCAAATACTCACCATGCGCGGCATCTTCTCCGTCCGTCTCTGTCGTGCACAAATACATATCACGACGGTAAATAGCCGCTTTTGCGGCGGCAACACTACCTCGACACTGTGCCTGTAATTGGATTTCCTCTTCTAACTCATTTGATGCGTACGGCCGCATCGGAGGTGGTCACGACGATGGTCGATGCTGTAACAGCAAGCATCGAATAACGCGTTGAGAGCTCAAGACTTTGCTACACCCAGAACAACGAAGTAGGCCCGGCTCTCCACGTGGGTGTCCAAGCTGCTTCTTTGGCCTTTCATAAGCTTCCGAAGGGATAGGCAGCTCTTCTAAGTCTGCATAAGAATGACCACAGAAGACACAAGACGAGTCTGACACACTCAGTGGCATCGACGTCGAAACAATGATGTCTGTGAACGCCTCGATGTCTCGATAGTATTGGTCCCCATACACACCGACAGCTCGGTTGAACGCGTCGCTGTTTGGTGGTGCATCAGCGAGCCAAATCAAGAAATGTGCGTGCAACGTGCCACCTCCCTGAGTTTCAATCATCCCAAAATATGCTTTAACATCGCCGAAGAGGCCATCGAATGGTTTATTCTTCATGTGCTTTGGCTAGACACCAAGCACATGCTCAATGAACGCTTCCATATGCCGCATGAACAATTTAGCTGACACGATGTCATTACCCATACTAGTACTGTGCAGCGCAGACTTTCCAGGCATTTCAGACAACGCTGCGTCAAATAGGGTGTCGACAGATGTAACACCACAGTATTGTGCCATGACAAACGAGTCGGCCACGTTCGGTGTTAGCGTCACGAAAAGCGCTGGCTGGTCAAATCTCATCTGATACGCAAATGCTCGCCGTCGACATTGTGCTCTCTCGGCATCGCTACCCCATATCGAACTTCCACTGAGTTCGACTGTCTTAAGAAAATCGGTTGCGCTGGATTCATCGTCGCGCGCTGACGTCGTGCGTCCTTGCCGCCGCAGCTCTTTCTCGCTCAGCGCTTTACAAGCGCATCTTGCGTGATATCACTGTATGGCTCAAACAGAACAGGATGTCGCTGACTCTTCAACGAAAGTTGCGTGTACATCTTCTGGACTGATATATAGTCAAAGCTTGGAAGCATGACCAACTCGTCCTCTGCAAACTTCAGCGTGCTCACTTCACTATAATAACGAATGCATGCGTCAAATGACACCGGAATATGCCGCTGCTCACCAGGATGGCCTCTTCCATACGGGAATAAATGTGGAAACATTCGTGCGAATAACGTATTGTCGTTCTGAGCAAATTGGCTAGAATGCCGAACGAGAAACTGAGGGTGCACCACACTTTGACTCGTATTCCCGGACACGACATGTCCATCTTGCGTGCTCACCTCATGATCATCCGAAATAAAACGACTCCAGGCTCGACAATGTCACTCTTGACACTACAAACGTCGTTGTCAGATACGCCACCAACGCGATCGTGGTCAGCATCCAATTCTGACACTTCAACATCAGCATTAACGTCTTCATAAATCAATGTTTCAGCAATTGCCTCCAGGGAAACCTCTGAACAATCCACCGTAACCATTTCGTACAACCCATTATGTTGCCGGTAAAACTTCAGTACATCATCAACGACTTGGCGGCGAACGCGATGCATTTGACGGACCGAAGCCTGTAGCTCAGTCGTAAACGGACCAGCAAACACCACACGATACGATGTAATATCGTCTACTGGAATTGGTAGCAGCGTTGCTGGCGGACCTGGCGTGGCGTCAAACACCAGGCAGTGAGAGCGAATTGAACGGTGTGAACGACCACGCATCACACGTGTGACCGCAACGAGCGACACCATCTGCGTCATTAATCGTTCAGGTAGTGTAATATCAGCAAGGCGACTGGGTAACGTGCCCACATAGAACCCATTCTTGATCGAGAATTTGGGAATTAATCCCTTCACCAGACTATCATCACACTCGCCACAAATATTCAAATCACCGTCGGGACGTACCCCACGCTTCGACAACAGCACACCGTTCAGAGTCAAGCTCAAACTAGAACAATCATATTCATCAACAAGTTCTTGTGCCAACCCTCGCCGGTGATCGAAAGTAATTTATGAAATTGTTGTAAGCTATCACAATCCGAGACGCCTACCACGCGACACATCGATAGCAATTTTGTGCGATCACAAACAGCACAAACAACTTCATCAAGTCCCACTGCTCCAAGTGCCAGTCGAAGACGTCATAGACTACGGCATTTCGACGCAGGCGAAACTGAACGCAGCCTCGGAATCCACCATCTCCCCACACTCGATGTCGCTCTTCAGGCATTACAACATTATCATTTCTTCTCGCTGCTGAAATTTTACGAGCGCGTGCTGACGATTTAGATCACGCTGTCGCCGAAGGCGTTCTTCTCTTGTTTCCGAGGATTCACACGCGCGTGATCACTGGACTGCTAGCCTATTGCGGTTACGCCGCTCTTCGATATTGACATTCACCCTACTTCTTCGTTCACGTTGCCGCCGAAGGCGCTCTGCTTTAGCTTCTGGTGATACACAAGCGCGTGATCGTTGGACTGCCAACCGATTACGCTCACGCCGCTCTTCCGCGCTAAGAACCATCGCAAATCTTGACACAATAATAAGAACTCAAATACTTTACATGGTTGACAATTACAATATACTCGATAACTTACCATTTTATAGAATAATACGCAGCACTTGCTCGCTCTAAAAAATGGTTCCATGTTATATATATATATATATATAAATATAAATATATATATATATATATTATGCAAACAGACCGCTCGATACGGGAAATACCGTCCTCAGCTTCCAGCTTAACTTCAAATTGGCTCGAACAGACTTTGGCGCCTGAGTGACGTCGACTTGGGGACTCTCTCGAAACAGATAAGGGTGATTGCACAGTCCTAAGCTGGTTACCGTACCAATATTTTGGCTAGGGGAAGTCCATTAGAATTTCACCACGCTTCAAGCGTATTGCTTAAAGCCACCTTTACGCTCAGATTCAACGTTTTATTCATCTCAACCTCCGCCAAACCGACATGGCAGGAAGTCATTACTACGTCAAGAACTCCGAGCCTCGCCGTGTGACCTTGACGCCTGGTTTGACCTGCTCCAACGCCGACGTGATGACCAGCAGTGGCCAAGAGTGCTCATTGCGCAACAATTCTGTGTATGTCTTCACCGGCGAGTACACGAGGTAAACCAACAGCGAGCTCAGCATCATTCCCAATGCGTTAACAACGCTATGTATGCTAACCACGAGTTACTCCAAAAACCTTCGTCAACAAGTATAAATTCTGCACCATCTCCTGGTACTGCAGTTATAGTACCTACTCCGTCTCCACCTTCTACAACAATGTGAACATGTCCAAACCTTTGGACATCCCATTTCAAGTCACTGTCTGGTGGGTTTTGAAACGTGCCAAGACCCGAAGTGGTCGAAGAGCAACGGCAAAACGTCGGTTTCCCGATCGCGGTAGAGGTAGAGAAATAGGCTAGGCATTTCGAAAGCCTCTCGGTAGCGCTTAAGCCCTCAACCGACACGTCAAGAAACCGCTCAGCCCGCCCTTTTGCTTCTCAGTATGGCGGCTTCTACGGTCTTTGCCTTTTTCAAGCCAAACGCACTCGCGACTAACGGCTACGCTTACGGCTCGGCTGTCCTACCTGCTTCAGACCAAGTGGATGTCTCGGTGACGAGGATTTCGAGCGGGCGATGGGCTTCTTTAGATGCGTTCGAGTGCGACCGTTCTTCGGACGAGGTGAAACAACGGGCGGTGAGCAAGGAGGAAGCGCTGAGCGGAATTGGGACGTACGTGGGTAGCTGTGTATGTGTTGCAAAAGTGTCCCCTCGCTCTCCAAAAGCTTGGGAGTATGGAGTTGTCACGGGCTACACTTGGGTTCAAGAGCGTTTGGCAGGGGAACTGTTTGTCTGCTTCGGCGACGAAAGCGACAGTGTGCCTTTCAACCCCAATGAACTACAGGATCTTGCGGTGCCAAGCTACGCTTTGAGACCGTGCCATCGGGCGCCTGTTGCTGATGTTATGGGAGCAGAAATGCGCCAGCGGTATTTGGTTGCGCTAAATAACTTCGCTGGCTCGGGGTCTCGTGCATCGCGAAATTCATCATCGATTTTACGCAAAATTGACGCCCCCGACATTGACGAGTCGCAGCTAATTCCTTTATTCAATGTGGCGGCAGGTAAAGTGGAGTTTGTGTCGATTAAATATGCCTTGGACTTTTCGTACTATAACGACGGAAAACGACGGGCTCCTGCCACGGTCAGGCTCGGTGATACTATTTTCGATGAACCAGCAGCAATTACATCGGGCCGTGACGAGACCGCGCAGTCTGCGGAGGACCCCAGGGTCTTGGCAGGCCAGCTGAGTGACTCAGACGAAAGCGATGGTGACGAGGACAAGGCACCACCACCGGCTGCGGTTGGTCTACTACAGACCCGAAAGCGCGAGCGTGACGTTCCTAATCAAGTGGATGAAGACCTAGTGTCATTGAAACAGCTCCGTGTTTCTTATTCCGGGAATCCATCGATGTTGCGAAGTATCGACCAAGTAATTGCTTTACGAGAGTCTCCCCTATCGGCGGGTAGCGGTAGTGCCATGGTTTCTTACAGTGGTTCGACATACAGTACCTCAACTTCAAGCAAGGCTCAATTCCAGCCTTCGTCGCTTCAGCGCGTGATCCACGGTCAACTTGTTAACGGTACGTATGCTTCCATGGAGCCCCAATTATTGCTTGCGACCTTGCAGATTCAGCACGAATTGTTTGCGTTTTTGCCACACCCGGCTATCTTCCGCGCCTTCTACAGTTGGGATTTTGGACTTCGCGGTCTCTCGCTTATGCATTTCGCACCTGTTGCCGGAGGAAGCAAGAGGATTTCGACGCACAAC